AGCGAGAGCGTGGCAGACGTCGTCGGTTAATTTACCAAAACTATCGGAGCAAAGAATACGTTTGGCGCCTGTTGAACTTAGGCCGCTTGGTCCCGCGCCTATTTGAAGATTATAATTTTTTTCTTCAAAATTTGAAAGTTTTAATTTTGTGGTTGGGTCTGGCAGAGTACTCTAAGGGTTTGAAAATCTGGCCTCCAAATATGGCTGCTCAAGTGTCAAATGTTTTTTTTCCAGAATTCACATTTTTTAAGATTTTTTCAATTTTTCAGAAAACTTTTTTTTTCAGAATTTGAAATTTCTAACCCTATATTTGATGGCTGTCAGACTACTGTCAGGAGTTTTAAAAATTGCCTCCAAATAAGGCTGCTCAATTCCTTGTATTTCTCTCAAAAAACCAGAAAATTTAAATTTAATTTGTTGCTTAAAATTTTGAAGTTCCTAACTCTGTAGTTGGCGGCTGTCAGATTAGTCTCAGCGGTTTAAAATCTTTCCTCCAATTATGTCTGCTCAATTGTTGTTTTCCAGAAATGACGTTTTTGTGATTTTTGGAAAGTTTTTCGGAAAACTTCAACTTAATTTTTTTTCAAATATTGAAATTTCTAGCTCTGTAGTTGGGGGCTCTCAGAGTACTCTCAGTGCTTGCGAATCTTGCGTCCAAATATGGCTGCTCAAATCTTGTTAGTTGAAAAATAAGTTCAGGTTTGAAGTTTCTCAAAATTTGAAGTTCGCAAAGCTGTACTTGGGTACTGTAAGAGTACTCTCAGGAGTTGCAAATCTTGCTCTTTGTTTCCGAGATGTGGCCTTTGTGAATTCTGAATTAAAAAGGCGTGAATAAAAAATCCTTAAAATTTTGAAATTATCAATCCCGTTATTGGGTTCTGTCAGGTACACTCAAAGGATGCAGATCTTATTTCCATTATACGCGGTTTTTTAAGAGTTGTTAAAATTTAGAGGTGCGTTATACGATAGTTTTTTTGAGACAGATTTGGAAAGTTTCTAACCTTTCTACCGATTTTTAAAAAAAGGGGGATCCATAGAAAGACCGCCTACAATCTTGTTTGCCCATATACAACCCTAGTATATTTTTGCTTTACCCCTTTATCTACAGCCTTCGAATAAGTCTGTGGGGAATATTTGACCAAAATTTGATTTTTTCCCGTTTGCTCAAAAACTAACCAACCAATTCTGCAATTTTGGTTTGAATGAAAAGTTCGCATCCATTAGAGGGCTTGCCCAACCTTTTTTACAAATAAAATTATGGCCCTCGGAATAGTCAAATTTTTGATTTTTTTGACCGTTTTGTGAATCTTTTTACTTTTTTCCAAAACTAGCGTCTCAAATTTAATATTGTGAGTTCAATAGAGATTATGACTAGTGGCAAACTCCCACGCATTAGAGGACACTGTCAATTTTTACACTAAAAGTTATCGTCCTAAAAGTCATTTTTGGATGTTTTAAGCGTTTTTTTTCTGAATCTATATTAATTTTTAGTTTGAAAATTTAATTTTGTCATGTGGCTTAGAGTTAATTCACATGCCTGCAAAGTCAAATATTCGTGGTTCAAACCCTCGAGGATCTTTTTTTTGTAAACATCAATTTTTCCGAATGACCAAGATCTTTGGCCATCTTGTTTGTCTGCTTATTTGTTGTCGTCTTAGTTGTCACATAAGGAATGTGTTTTACTATAATTGAAAATCTTTTCAGCTTATGTGTGTGCAAGTAATTGCGTTCCGAAATTTTTTGCTATTTTTTTTTCATTTACAATTCCTGTAAGATTTTTGAATATTTTCATTTCGTTTATGCCTTCTTCTGTTCAGAAGAAAGCTTTAAACTGCAAAGCTTCAAACTGCGCTTTCCCTTAAATGTTTTGAAAATTTTATTATTTCTGATAGCAATACTATAAGATATTACAGCATTGCATTGTAGGAAAAAAATTACAGCACAATAAACTGGATTCAATGAATTGTGAGTAAACTAGGTGTAAACCTGAAAAAGTTCCAATTTTCTTCCTTCAAAAATGTTTCGTTCGCTTGATTTCAGTTTATCAACTAAGCTTTCATGAAGCAATCATATAGATCAGTTCAAGAATGGCTAGATCAAGTTTTTTTAGAGTTAGTTTTTATGCTGTTTTTCCGAGACGTATTTTTGTATCTCACTTGGTGCGAAGTTCCGCTTAGCCTCTGTATTTTATTCTGACTAATTTGATGACGACCCATTACGAAAGTTTAACTTATTTTTATTTAAGAGAATCTTTAGATTTTTTGTCACTTGACCTAGTGATCTCAACAGTCTGCTGCGTGCACAGCAATGGGTTTTCGTTGCTTTAAGTGTCAATTAACGTAGTGATGAAGTATAGCTTGTGATGGTTTTTCTTTTTCACGAAAGTTTGTAGATAATGTCTTAATTTGATTTTCTAAAATTCATTTTTTTTGTTCAGAGGAGTGAAATTTCCACTAGCGAACATCACGTGTGTAAAAGATTTGAAAAACGTGATGATCGCTTTTAAGTTAAGAATATTGATTTCATTTAGGTTTCCCAACGGAATAAAAAACGTTATTCCAGTTTCCTCAATTTGGGTTAATATTATCAGAAAAATGTCAACATCAATTGTTCTTGAAAGTCGAAGATTCTATTGGCAAATATATGTTTTTTTTTGAAATCAAAAAGTTTCAAAAACAAGAAAGCACTTTATCTGTTTCCTTGCGTTCCTTGACAATTTTCCAGCTGTCTTGACTCTTTTTTATTGCATTATAGTTTTTGGTAAGCACCAAAATCGTTCGCTGGGAGGAGGGTTTTAACCTTTGACGCTGATTGGCAACATATGTTAAGTTTAACGGGGATAGCCGGTTGCTGTGCCAGTAACACAGAATGCTCCAAACACACATTCATAAAAAAAACTGAAAGTTTTTTTGATAATTTTCTTCAAATTAGTGTTGTTGCCAGAGGTTGGTTTGATTCCGGTTTGAACTATACAATCGATTAAAAAATGAGTGATTTAGGCATGATCGACAACAATTGTTTCCATAAAATCGTAGCTCAATTTAAAATTAAAAAAAAAAACGTTTTTTTTTTTGCCAAACTAGCGCCAAACAGTCATTTTCTTTATAACGAGCGTCAGTTTCTTTATAAATCTCTATAGCTTCAAACCAGTTTTGCTCGACATTGGGACAACTTTTTTAATGTCGTTCGAATCATGACTGATAGGTCTTTAATATGATATATCACTCGACACATTCCGATGATTATTTTGGTAACTGATTTTGCGTGGAAAAAAATAAAAAGTAAAAAAAAAACCAAAACATACCCGAATACAAAGTTCCTCCCCGTTTTCAATGGTCGGAACAAAAAAATTTTGAAGCATCAAACAATAACCAATGCGATGTTTCAACCAATTTAAATATCGAAGAATAGTAGCCGGTTGCTGTACAAGTAGTACAAAGAGTTCCCACCTCATTAATGAGAAAAGATTAATTTTAAATTGGCGTAGTTTTTTTGTGCGTGGTGCAATCAAAGGAACTAGAGGACAGTTTTCAAATTTAGTAATTTAGGCATTACTTATTACTGTTGGATTCTAAAAACAAATAACATACAAAGTTTCTCCCCACTTTCAGATACTAGTGTGTCCAAAACGTAAATTGTCCAAATAGTAAATTGTCCAAAACGTTATTTGCATCCATAAGCAAGTCATGGCTCTATTGTTTTTGAGCTGTTTGTTCGTGGTATTTATTTTGAATCAAAATTATGTCATTGGAAAGCAACCTCTCATTTTTTTTGTTTTAGAAATGATTTACATTGAAATTGGTAACTTATAACAATAAATTACCATTTTACGTAGTCAATTTTAGAACTGAAAGGCATAAAGTATCTCGAAAAGGGATCGTAATATTGACGGTTTCTGAGCGTTTTAGATTACGGTACACATGGCTATAAAAACCTAGAAGTACTAAAGGTGCTAAATTTTTTTCTTTCTTGCCTTTCAGGCCTAGAAGTTACTTCTTTTTTTTGACATCTCTTTGCACAAGGGACTTGGAAATTAAATTGAATTAGCCTCAGGTCACCTAACTTAATCGTCACGTTTTGATTGAGGACATAAATCGCAGGAAAATTGATACATTAAACAATCTTATTTTCCACTTTTCGGTCCCAGTTTTTAATCAAAAATAACATATGATGCTTCTTCAATCAACCGATGGAATTTAATTTAGCTTGTTATACCCGTTGCAATTTTTATTGAATTTTGGGCAATTGCTTGCAAAGTGAAATAAAAATGCTAGAAATATATTGTAAGGATATGAGACAGCTAGTGTGCAGGTTAGAATAATATGGACAAATTGATTTCTGGGAGCAAGATCTAAGGAACGGCCTGGAAATGTGGAATTGATTTGAGGCCGGGCGTTCTTATGACAGGGTGCCGTGTGCAAATGTTCATAAGTGATCGGGGTCTGGCTGTGGGGGATCATGGCAGAGGGATCATCCAATTAAGTGTTTGTTAGCGAGACCCAAAACAGAAGAGGATCCCCTATTTGTTGTACCTGCAAATATTGCTTTTAAATGTCTTCGAAATGGTTCCTATTGGTTTTATTAAGTCAACTAATCTATGGATCATGAGTTGCCGTATAAAACTACGGGGAGCAAAATATGAACTGAACGAAACAAGGTTCCTTGAAGACTTGTCTAACCCAAAATTATCAGTCTAAATCCGGGATTTTTGAATTAGTTTCACACTATTTGAATAAAAGAAATCTTGAACGTTAATGGAAACTTCTTGCCTGAAATCTGTGTTCTATTTGAGTTACTGATCCAAAGTTTTTTATTAAATTTAATGTGTTTATATCATTGCGTTAGCTTTTGAATAAATTTTCATTTAACGCCAGTTCATTCACGAACCTGGAATATATTTTTCACTGACTATTTCGAATCGATCATTTCCGCAGCTGCTAATTGTTAATTAAAATCCTCAGTTAGCTTTCATTCGAATTTCATAGTCGAAAAGTGTCCTGACTGGATTGAATCTGAAGTATTGTTTTTTTTTAAAGATGATAATGCCCACTCACTATTGCCTTCATTATAGTTTTTTTTGTTTTTTAAAAACACATGTTTGTTTAACGGTTTATTAAGGTCAAACTGTCGAGCTAGTTTTGTCGGGTTAATTTAACCATTTAATTGTAATCAGTGGTGTGCGCAGAATTTTTTCAGGGGGGGGGGGGGAAATCGATCAATTTGATTTTCCGAGCGCTGCAGGCAAATTTTTCAAAAAAACAGGTCAAAAAAGGCGTTTTTAGGAACTTTTTCGATTTTTTTGGCGCGCGCTCCTCTCTCAAGATTTGTCGTATTGGCGCCTAAGGTGCCTCTCGAAAAATTTTAAGGTTGTTCAGTGAAAAATGGATGTCTTAAAGTTCTACCAAAAGGGATACCCGTTGCAACATTTTGGCAACCAAAATTGAGGGAGGGTGGGGCGATCCCCCGCCCGCCCCCTAGGCACGCTACTAATTGTATTATAAGTCTAAAATAGTGGGAGCTCTGAATTGGGAATCGTAATTAGTCACAATTTTAATTTAAATTGATTTACCAAAGTTCTTTTTTCTTTTGCGGCGCATCGGAATTAAATTCTCCCGAGGCATGATATTCACGTTTCTTTGAAATTTTGATAATAGCGACATTGTTTTATCTCTAAATTGATGCGAATTGAGCAAAAAAATCTGATTTTATTTGATTTTTTTTTCTTAATGCTCTGTTTTGATCCTCAGCTGGTCTCATCATAATGATGAAAAAAAAAGGTAGTGGCAGCCTCGGATTTTCATAATCCACCCCGCTGTTTACTGATTGTTTTTCCATTTAATTAGGTCTCTTTTTGCCACAAGAAAGTTGTGTTTATTCCACAATTAGCAGCAGGAATGAAAAGAGGAACACGGGAAAATAACCCCGTGTATTGTTCCCCTTTCTGATAATCTAAATAGGTGAAAAAGATCCGCATAAATGCTATAGAATTACCTATAAAAGCGGAACAGATTAATTGTTCATTGCGGGCAGTCACATTGCTGAAATCTGATTGGATAATACCTGTCTGCTTATTAATGGGAGCAAGGCCAAATTGTTCCAATAAAAATTGTTTATTTAACGCAAATATTGGCAAATATCCGAAACGGAAATTAAACCAGCGGAACAAAACAAATTTGTCGTAATTTGATTTTTTGATAATTTGTTTCATTTTTTGTATTGATTATTTTCTCAGTTTCTGTTATCTCTGTAACACGATACAATGCGTGATATCCTTACATTTTTTTCGCTTTACTTTATATTGCTCTCAGTTTTAATCTGTTGTCAACTGATTGCAGAGGCGAATGGCGCTGGTGATTATGTCAGTTTCGATCGGTTCACGAAAACCGAAAAGTTGTCGGAGAGTGAGAAAAGAGCGATTAAAAGTGAGGTGAAGGATGAGTTGTTTAATGCTAAGTTCCCTCTAAAATACAAAGACATTTACATCGGTCACCTTTCTGGAGACCTCAAAGCTCCTGTGCCAGGCAGCTTCTCAAATCTGCTGCTGTTTAATTTCCCTGATGATGTCTTACAAAGCTTACCCAAGGATTACTTCGTTTCGCTGTTCGTTAACCCAGGAGTTTATCCCCAACAAAGAGTCCGACTTCTGGATGCTGCCTCTCGAAAAAGTCCCAATGTCTACGGAAGCAACTTCTTGGGAGAGTTGATTAAAGAAGCCAAAGTCAAAACTAATATTGACGCCGATAGTCGAATCTGGAGTTCGAGAGTCACACTGGAAGAGGTTCTGTTTCTCATGTTTGATCCTCGAGAGAGATTTCTGGGCAGTTTTCCTAGCCTGTCTAGGACTGAGCATCAGCAGATGGTCGAAGGAATATCATATCGCTGGATGGGCAGTCTCAATTTCAATAAAGAAGCTATGCAGGCCTGGGGAAGCGTGGCAAGGTCAGAATTTTGGACGAGGAATCAGTTCATGTGTGATTTAATGCTGTCCTCCTGGTTTCCACAAGTATCTCAGATTGAATACATTAGGGCAGAGAACCTGGCAAAACTTCTACCATGCATGACGCCGGATATCATTCGAGAACTCAGGCGCCGGCAAAACAGGCGTATTGGACATAGGAATTCCGTCAACAATTTTAAACCGATGATGGAAGGGTACGCTGCTTCACCCGAAACAGCACCTAGAAACAGAATGACGAAACAGGAACTAATCAATACTTTCATCGAGCTGTCAGTCTTTGCGAAAGATGAGGATTTTTTCAGACAAGTATCAGGGCTGTTGCCATATATGGGTATCACCGTTTTCCACAACAATCTCTACCACACAAAGAGAGAAAAGGGAATTGCTCGGCTAGTGGCGAACTTCACGAAGAATTTTGCGCTGATCGAGAATCTCGAATATGATTTGAGAAGAACGAACTCTATGCCAAGCAGAAGAGTGGATCACACGTATGTGTCTGCGTTGCCGAATATTTGGTCCAGTGAAGAGATTTGCGAGAGTCTGAGAGCGATCAAACAGGGCTCAGAAGCAGAACTGACTTCAGTGATTCAACACATCTCAGACTTCAACGACAATTTGATGTTGGCTAAAAAGATGGAAATTCTCTTCTGTTATTTGAAGTTAACGAAGAAAAACATTGTGCATATAAGTGCAGCTGTACAAATCAGATCTCTAATCAAAGGAGCTAAATTGCCTGAGCTGCCGACTCTGAGGATCTCGGAACACCCAGAGCATGTCGAGTTTTTGCAGAACAACGAAGCAAACCTCACTCCCCTTCAGAGATACCATTTTCTGGAGCAAGAACAGTCCAACAAACTAACAGCCGGAGCACTTCTTTCTTTGGGGGAACATTACTTGTCGGATTTCGGAATTTTTCGATTAGATAATCCGAACTTGCTGACTGATATTGGCTTCCGTTATAGTCAAAAAGAGGGATTAGTTAACCTCAACCCAGTAGACCACAAGACTATCACAGGTAACAGTGCTTTCAAACTGCTTATTCTGGATAGGATCGGAGATGATTTGCGATTGGGACCCGAAATCGCAAGGAGGCACAATTTTGCTAGCTCATTTGCTCCCAGTCATTTGGAAAAAATTCGAGATTCAGAATTTTTTGACGTTGTTGAGCTCCTGGATAAAAGTTCACTATCGGAAGAAGTTTTAATAGAATTGGCCGACAAGACAAAAATTTGGAAACAAAAATACATATCTACAAACACAGCTCAAAATTTTTCACTTATCGACTTGGAGTTTTCCGAAATTGAGGCTCTTGGAGGATACGTTTTGAAGCATTTCAAAGTGAGAGAGTTTGAGAGACTTCGTTTCGACCATGTGAAATGTAACACAATTTTTGGTTTTATTGGAGAAAGCGTCAAACCGACCACAATTCTCGATTTCGCCTTGAAGGCAAAGTTGGAAGTCTTGGTATCATTTTATGTGAATGAATGTATCGGTGAGCCGAAGTTACTGAAAGACGAAATGCAAATGCCTACGATTTGGCAAAAAGATCTGGTAGTTCTTGGGTCTCTTGCGTGTTTTCTCAATCGAAATATTTATTCAGTAGATGAGAATGCTTTGACGAAGAACTTGTATCGTTTCGCCGATTGTTTGTTAACACATGAACAAGGCATCCACATGCATAACAAACTTTCAACTATTTTTGAAAATGGAAATCATGAGTTAGATGTTGTGGAGCTGCTGAAAGTGTTGGGTCCAAATATATGTCTGGTTTTCACGCCCAGTGAACTAGAACAAGTCTTTTTCGAGAACAGAATTGAAAACATCTCCGCTGCAATTCCATCGAAATGGATCCACTTCTTCGAAGCAATAGCTACTGTTGCTGCTATTCAGAACCCGCTCATTTTGCCTACACGTAACCAAGACGTAGAGTTATGTGGCAAAGTTTTGATGGAAAACAGCTTGAAAGTCCTCACTCTTGGTCTGAGACTGTCCTTTGAAGACTTCGAGGAATTCAGAATCATCGAAGAGGTCACGTGTTCTCGACTGCGCCATCTGGGACATGGGATTGCGTACATTTCACCCGAAGTATTTGATAAACTATCGGCTGTAGAAGTGCAAAGATGCCTGGAATATTTCACGCATAATCCTCACACGACAGAACAGCAATTGAGAGTATTAGAAAGTCGTCTGCAGGTAGACGAAAAGCTGAACAGCGAGTTCGATTTCTCAGATTCACAAACCAATTTCTTTAAAATTCAGAAGCTAGGAAGTTTATATCGCTCTTTCATTGAACCAATTAAGATCGGATGTAATCTCAGTCTCGACGTCATCTCAGTCTTGGGAAAATTAGACAATTTAGAAATGGATCAGATGAGCACACTCTTCGAATGCGCGAAGCTTGAAATCACGGACAAGAACGGTTTTCTGAGCATAAATGGCATTAAAATGGCTGGAAACTTACTATGCGGTGCAAGCATGAACGGTCTTAAAATTATGATGAGCAGAGACGTCGCTCTTTCGACACTTTCTGACTTGAGCTGGAATCTAAAGAAATGCTCTCGAGAAAAGCTGAATATCGTTTTTGACAAAATAGAAGACAGCATTACTAAATGGAAACCATCAATGATTTACACGGCTGGGATTATTTTGGCTGGAATTCCAGTTGGAGAAATAGGACACTTGACCAGGTCTCAAATTGAGTTCATCCATCCCGAAGTTTTCACTAGAATGTCATCGGAGCAATTCACAGCTCTGCTGCGAATCCCCAATATATTCTCATTTTTGGGACACCGCCAACTGTTGGAGCTGAACAGAGTTTATTTAGGAGAAAGAAATAACGATAAATCTTTGCTCATCGAAATGAGTTTGTTCGGACACGATTCGATTCTTATTGATAGAATTAATTCAAACACAATGCGTCCTAAATTAAAAGGCTATTTGTCCAGCTCAGCGGAGAAACGGAAAGAAAAAAGTGATCTAAATGGTGGCGCTCAAACAGAATCATCCGACGAGGCACTGGTATCGGAAAAAGTTGAAAAAAGTCAGTTTGTCTATGTTATCATAAACTCATCCGTAAAGACTCAGTGGGCTGAACTTTTGATAATTGTTGTTAATATTTGCAGATTGTGCTTTTACTAATAGTAGATTTAAATTCCAAATTTTTATTTATGTTATTTCATTGTGCTCCTCACAATTTCGTTCAATTTAAGTGAATTCAAGATAATGCATGGGTGATCTGGTAGCAATGGAATATATTAAGGGCAGGCGCGGACATTAAGGGCAGGCGCGGATCTAGGAATTTCTCGAGGAGGGGTGGATTTTCAAAAACCACTCTTCTAAACCACTATAAAGAGAGTTTTTAGGCTTTTTTTTGGAAAATTTTGACCAAAAAATTGCATTTTTCGGCGCGCGCTCCCCCTTAAAATTAGTATATACTGGCGTCGAAGGCGCCTGTAGAAAAATTTTCAGTGTCCGTCACCAAAAATGGATATCTCAAAATAGTACGAAGGGGGATCCTTCGGGTCGGCAGGGTGTCGAATCCGTGAGGGGGGGGGGGGGAGCATGCGCCCCCACCTTAACCCGCTACTGATTAAGGGTATCTTCTGCAGTTTCGAAAAAAGTGGTCTTCAAAGTTGACATTGACTTTGTCGCTTAATCTTTTTTTTTTCCAACTTTTTTTAATAAGTGAAGAACAGTTATATGAATTTTTTTTCCTGTGCATAAACCGACGCTTATGCTAGTGATCAAAAATCAATACGCTGCGTAATCTTGGCGCTGATTCTAATTCAACGTGTAGTTGGAAATTTACGTATTTATTCTGAAAACTTACTTCCACAAGCGTAGTCTGCGTCTGTCAAGTGACCCTCCTTAACGTTTTATTCACAGCAGATGTGCTTGTTGTTATTGTTCTGTTTTTTCGTGTACTTTTCCTCGTTCAGATAGCGAACAAAGCGTCCTTTGTTGCGGCTGGAATCGCAAATGCAACTGAAAGGCTGTTGAGTTTTCTATGCACTCACAATGGAATGAATATTTCAACATCGTCTCTCTATGCCTCTGCATAGTTGATTACATCACCTGCAAACAGCGAGAGATTTTCACGACTTTTCAGCATAGTTGATTGTTTGGCTCAATTTGACACTTCAGTTAACGAGAGGCAATTTTTAACTACTTTTATGTTTTACGCAGCAGATAAATTAGCGAGCTGGTGAAAATTGGAATAAGACCCAGCGTTTGACAAAGTTACAAAAATGTTAATTGTTTCTTTACTCAATTAACTATTCTTAACTGTGTTGATTTTGAAAGTGTTCAATTTGATCAATAACCAGCTATTAAGTACAGCAAATACTAAGTATATTAACACTAACTATTGTATTACAAATAACACTTTAGCTTCAAGGTATCATGGATCTGTAGCGTAGAGGTAGGGAAGGAGACTCGCAACAAAATAAGAGGGTTCGACCCTGGGCAGGTAGGATGTTTTTAATGAATTTTTTCGTTGATGGGATTGTTCTCAAATTTTGAAAGTTTAAAGTTTTTGAAAAAGCTATCAGTTGGTTTCCAGTCTCCTTGAGTTCCATGACTTATTTTCGATTTTTCAAGTTCAATTTTCGACTAATTTGCCAACTGACAAAATTATCCTCTCCAGCAACAAAATTGCATATAGCGCAAACAAATTTAATTGACGTATAATCGCAAACGTGATTTTTTAAAAAATTTCTAGAATGGCCAGAAAGAATTAATTTTAGATTTCGATTTTTTTAAAAGTTTTGAAAACGCAGATTGAATAATGATTTGTTTTCCTCAAGTTTGCTTAGCTCATAAAAATTGTCAAAAAAATAAAACGCTTTAGTTTAAAAAAAACTTAAAGCCACGTTTTTGCCTATTTTTGAAAACTAAAAATGTTCTACAAATAATGTTATATTTCTTGTCTTCCTTAATTTTATTAACGCTTTTCAAGAAGCAGTCAATTAGTTATTTTTCTACTGATTATCGACTAATTTTTGCTTTTATTCAAATAAATATTATAATCTATCAACATAAATGGAACCGATTTCAAAAACTGCTACTTTGAATTTTTTTTATTAGCAAATCAAAATACAACAGCATCGTAGTTCTTTACCTTTTTGGCCAGACTTTTCTGTACCCTTGAGATCAGCAAGGGTTTCGCAATTGGGTACTAGACTTCTTTGCGCTACTAACTTTCTCGCATTTTTAAGAAAACCAGCCTGTTTAAAAGCTGCAGTTCTGTGGATATAGCTACTAAAGTGGTTCTGGGTTTAGAGCTGAGATAAATCTATTATATATTTAAATGCGGGCTTCACTATCTCGCCATGTTTAAGCTTTTTCAACGTATTATTTTTGCATGTTTAAGCTATATCGTATATTGCAATGGTTAAGAATTTTTTCGATTTTCCAATCTATTATATATTTAAATGCGGGCTTCACTATCTCGCCATGTTTAAGCTTTTTCAACGTATTATTTTTGCATGTTTAAGCTATATCGTATATTGCAATGGTTAAGAATTTTTTCGATTTTCCAATTTGATTTTAGTGGTTATTTTACCGAGTTTAAATTAAGCAGCCCAATATCGAATTAGGGGTTGCAAATTTGGCCTCCAATTTTGAATGCCCGAATCATTTTAGATAAGACGATTTTTAAGAGTTTTCAAAAATTTCCAGAAATTTCAAAAAACAAAATATTTACAAAACTTGAAGTTCCCAACCCTGTAGTTGGGTGCTATCGGAGTACTCTAAGGAGTTACAAATCTTGCCTCCAAATATGACTGTTCAAATCCTTGTAGTTTTCGAGATATGACGTTTTTTGTGATTTTTTCAAAAATTTTCACAAAATTTATTAATTTTTTTTTCGCAAAATCTGAAATTCCCAACCCTGTAGCTGGGTCCTGTCAGAGTAATCTCAAAGATTGAGGATCTTGCCTCCAAATATGACTGCTCAATTCTTTGTAGTTTTCGAGATATGACATTTTTGTGATTTTTTCAAAATTTTTCAGAAAATTATATTATGATTAGTTTTTAAAAATCTGAAATTCCCAGCCCTGTAGTTAGCTCTGTCGGAGTACTCTCAAAGATTGCGAATATCGCCTCCAAGTATGACTGCTCAATTCTTTGTAGTTTTTGAGATATGACGTTTTTTGCGATTTTTTCAAAATTTTTCAGAAAACTTGAATTTTTTTTCTTAAAAAATCTGAAATTCGCAACCCTGTAGTTAGGTCCTGTCAGAGTACTCTCAAGGATTGCGGATCTTGCCTCCAAATATGACTGCTCAATTCTTTGTAGTTTTCGAGATATGACGTTTTTTGTGAGTTTTTCAAAGTTTTTCAGAAAACTTAGATTATTATTAGTTTTTAAAAATCTGAAATTCCCAAACCTGTAGTTAGGTCCTGTCGGAGTACTGTCAAAGATTTCGAATCTGGCCTTCAAGTATGACTGCTCAATTCTTTGTAGTTTTCGAGATATGTTTTTTGTGATTTTTTTCAAAAATTTTCAGAAAAGTTAAATTATTTCTATTCTTTAAAAATCTGAAATTCCCAACCCTGTAGTTAGGTCATGTCAGAGTACTCTCAAGGATTGCGAATCTTGCCTCCAAATATGACTGCTCAATTCGTTGTAGTTTTCGAGATATGACGTTTTGTGTGATTTTTTTCAAAACTTTTCAGAAAACTTAAATTATTTCTATTCTTTAAAAATCTGAAATTCCCAACCCTGTAGTTAGGTCCTGTCAGAGTACTCTCAAGGATTGCGAATCTTGCCTCCAAATATGACTGCTCAATTCTTTGTAGTTTTCGAGATATGTTTTTTGTGATTTTTTTCAAAAATTTTCAGAAAACGTAAATTATTTCTATTCTTTAAAAATCTGAAATTCCCAACTCTGTAGTTAGGTCCTGTCAAAGTACTCTCAAGGATTGCAAATCTTGCCTCCAAATATCACTGCTCAATTTTTTGTAGTTTTCGAGATGTGACGTTTGTTGGGATTTTTTCAAAATTTTCAGAAAGTTGAAAAGAATTATTTTTCAAAGTTTGAAGTTCCCAACTCTATAGTTCAGTGTTGTCAGGGTACTCTAAAGAGTTGCAAATCTTGCCACATGCGACTGCTAATCGCGACTGCTCAAATGCTTTTAGTTTCCGAGATGTGACGTTTTTCGATTTTTTCAAAATTTCTCAAAGAACTTATCTACAAAGAAATTCTACTAATTCTAATTCTACTAATTAGAAAATTTGAAACTACTAAATTGATGAAGATACAACCTTATTGTCAGCGTACACCCAGGCGTCTCAATTCTTGCCTCTTAATATGAATGCTCAAATCCTTTTAGTTTCCGAGATAAGACGTTTTTTTTTCAATTTTTTTTTCGGGAATCTTAGGTTTAAAAATATTCACAAAATTTTGGATTCCTTACCCTATAGTAGGGTGCTCTCAGGGACTCTCAGTGGTTGCAAATCTGGCTTCCAAATTTCTCCAGAGGCCCATTAAGTTTTCGAGATGACGCTTTTAAAATGGGAATTTAAAAAAATTAAAAGTTCGAAATTACCAACCCTGTAATTGGGTGCAGTCAGAGTACACTAAAAGTTTGCAGATGTTGTTTCCAATATATGCGGTTTTTCATGAATTGTCGAAAAATTTCGAAGCACCGAAGGTGCGTTAATTGCTAGTTATGATTATAAACTTGATTTAGCCTCGTCTTGTTGTTGTTTTCACAATTTTGGTCGGCTCACTTGACGGGTGTTTTTTCAACTAATTTTGTGCACGAGGAGCGCAGTGTCTTGTTACGGTACCCTTTCAATCCAACCTAATCCGCAAACAAATGTGCTCATTTAATTGATGGGAATTTTGCATTTTTAGAAGTAGTTTATATTTGGTGCCTAGCATTGTAATTTTGTATCTTGTTTAATGGTGGGCTTACTTTTATTTAAAAAAGTTGATTCTCTGAAATTGTTTGGGTAATAGTTTAGTTTTAGAGTTGACTTTGTAAACTCTTTTGCTTTTGCTTTTTCTAAACACTTTTCAACATGTACTATCTTTACATGAAAAAAATAGTACCAACGGAAAAGCTGGCTAAGAAAACGCCCGAATTTTGGACTGCTGATCATTTCTCTGAAAACATTTTATTTTCTCAAAAATTGCCCCGCCGAAAACCTGAGATTAGAAG